AGCACACCATCTTCCCCTCTAGATCTCCCCTTACGCTGTTGGCAACAGTCCTCAGGGGGACTTCCACACCCAGAACCATGCTGGCTCAGTTCTTCTGCGTAATACAAGTTGACCTTTGGTTAATCCATTGTAAATGTGGATATTTTTTCAGTCATGGCTGCAGCTTACTCTGATGTAGGCAATAATTCATCTGCCCTCTATCCACCCTTGGAGTTGGAATCCCTGGATTAAAATCTTATCTTAACTTCTACCTACTTATCTAAACTTCTACAAATACATGTTTAAAAGTAAATCTTTAAAGTTGAGCCTGATGGGTCTATTATCCCATCTATTAGGGATTTTTCTCAATGGTCCCAGGTGGCTTTTCCAAAAAAGGATATAGAGACAACAAACATGAGAACCAACCAAAAGTTAAAAATAAGAGAAAAAAATTTTAATGGAATTCTACTGTTCCAGGTACCAGAGAGGCAGCAGCAAACTGCCAATCTGACAAGTTTCTTCATGAACCCCACATCAGCAACACATGGGCCACATACAGCGTCTACCCCCGAAAGAGCTGAGAGGCTTAGAAGGTGTTCATATGAAACACCCAACACCATGCACAGATGCGGGAAGCACTCAGTGAGCACCAGCCACTCTAGGTTAGCACTGCAGGATTCATCATGTAGTCTGCACCCCAGAAACCATGAGGCTGAGACTTTCTGCTGGCCTCCACCCACAGCCTCTGCCTCCCACCTGGACCTCGCTTCCTGGACCACCATTGAAGGTTTGGAAATTGGGCACAAACAGTGGGATAAGTGGGGCCTTGGTCTGAAGTAAGAGCTAATGGAATTCATGTTTTCTTTTGAATTCTTCTGAAGAGGAGGAAGCCTGGATTTCTTTAAACATTGATGTGATACAACCCAATTGCATTCTGCTTCTATGAAAGAATTCCTGGTTTCTGTACACAGCAAACAAGCAGAAGTGGAGGCTTCTGTTGTCTCTTAGCACCTTGCAGAGGCAGCTTCTCCTCCAATGGTCCTTCCCCTACCATCCATCAGGACGTAATGCAACCCGCTCCTTAGAGCTATGGGCCCTAGCAGAGTCTGTCTCTTTCCCTCTCTCTTTCATTTCCTTTCTTTATTAATACATGTTCACAGTACCTAATGATTATGTTTATCATGGAGAGTTGGTACAAACTTCATCTTAACAACACTAGTAATAAAAATATCAGAGGTGCTTTCTACAGGGAACATTTCATGCTGTTTTACAGTGGCATATGGAGTATTGTTCTCAATCAGAACATTTAGGAGCAGTAGTTGTTAGTTATGTTGGAGGATTTCTCCTGGGTTCCCTTCAGATATAACCTTCCCTATTTGCAATGTCTCTGGGAGACCTCTGTCGCTGTTTCTACGTGAAAGCACAGAGGTACAGAAAGCAAGGAGAGTTCGCCAGTAGAGCCCTGAGTGGGGCCATACCTTGACTTGTTTTGCAGCAGGACTGAGCTCTTTCACAATATGGTGAAACATTCTTATGATGTACCAAGATATGGTCTTTCTTCCATTTCATTGTGCTCCCTGTCATCTCCAGGAGCAACGACACTAGAAAACAAATCATCTTGTGAACTCATTGGTCAAGGAAAGGGAACAGCAAATATTTGGAAGAAACCTAAGCTGGTCCTTTGAAGTGTCACAGAGGCAGAAGTGAAAAGGGTAATTCAGAGGGGTTTCTGGTGCCCATAGGACCACAGAACAGAAACATTATGGGAATGGAAGGAACAAAAATAAAAGACTTAAGCCTCTTCTACTATCTGAGACATTCAGAGATGCCCATTGCTTTATAGCATGAGGGTAAGAGGAGAAGGACACAGGGCCCAGGAGAGTCCCTGGAGAGGTCATCCCCTGGGACAGCCTGCAGAAGTAGAGGGAGAGAGAACATGTGCATAGCAAAGCAGCTGAAGGACTGAAAGTGGGAGGTGGGACAGGTGGGACGCGGATGCTGAAGAGAGCAGTGAGGACCTACAACCTGAGACCACCTAGTGACACTGACACTTTCACAAGTGCCAGCGTGAGCTGGGCATGTAACTTAGGGATGACAGCATGAATGGGAGCGCTTGTCCAGGAACAAGGGGTTCCCCTCTGACCTGGGGTTATCGCAATATGATTTATTCTTAAAGTCATTTAGAAGGAGGGAAAGGAAACCCTGGATTTATTGAATAAAGCTGAAATGGTTGTTTTATATTTGTGTTTACTTAATTCTACAGATCACCTATAGGAAGAATAAGATTGCCAAAGAGAAGTTGAGTGGTAGGAATTTAGAAATAGAGATTCACGTTTGATCTGTGAAATGCCAGCACAGTTACTTCTGTCTATCTGACGTCTCTTCTGCTCTCCCTCTTTTGCTGTGACCTAAAAACATGGGAAAGTTGCCCAACCCCCCCACAAAAAACCCCTTAAAACCCATGTCATAAGAATATTTATTAGACTGGGTGTGGTGATGCCCACCTGTAATCCCAGCACTTGAGAGGCTGAAAACAGGAGGATCACTATGAGTCTGATCTGTCTAGTGAGACCCTGTAGGCCCTGTACTAAATTTAAAAAGAGAATATCTATTAAGAAATAGCAATTTTTTGTGTGTAGTGCATAAATTTTAATATGCCTAATTTTATCCTCCCAGCAGCCCTCTAAATGAAGCAGAGCAGAGCAGAGCAGAGCAGAACAAGTGATGGCACTGTTTGCAAAGAGCCAAACTCAGGGAAGCTAAGATGACCACACCAACACAGTGCAGTGGATTGCAGTCCTCAAACTTTTTTTTAAAATTAATTTTATTGAGAATGAACTAGCAATGAGACAGTTTCAAAACAGGTTAGTAGAATAGTTACAATAATTAATACATTGCATATTATTGTCTTTGTAGTAGTTATTCATAGTACAAGATGCAGGCATATCTTGTCTAAACACTATTAATACAAATCTTTCTTCTCATTGTACTAAGGGAAAGTAGCTGTATGTCTATGCTAACTACTTTGTATATACAGATATATATATATATCTACAGATCACCCTCTTTTGCTGTGATCTAAAAACATGGGAAAGTTGTCCAAATCCCCCCCCACAAAAAACCC